TTGCTTGCAATACATTTTTACACATTAGCTGACATTATTGCTGGGTTGGAGTACAAAATTAAAACCAATTTACAATCGCAAGCAGCCTTAAAGCAAGCAATAAAGAATTAGAGAAGGGGACTTTTGACTACTTTCCTCACGTTTGCACTTGCATCTGCATATACCCCCCTTTTCTATATCCCTAACATCTAAAATATACTGAGAATACATTTTTCAAAAAAATATTGATGACTATAGATCAAGGCAATTAGAATGATGTAAATATTCTTCGCCTTCAATACCAGTCATGTGACTTGTAATAAGGTATTACTGTATTTGCTCTATTAGTAGCACATATGCTTTTGTAAATTACAGAAGACTTACTTTGGTCAAACAAGTTATATTTTAATTATCCAGTTTACAACAGACATAATTTTAGGTTTATATATGCTTCTATTGGAGATGTGCTTCTAATAGAGCAAATACAGTATAGATGATGCAAGTTCCTAAAATTTTATGAAATACAGTAATTGCCCTATTAGAAGAACATGCATAAACATAAATGCAATGTTGAATGCATTAGCTTTAATTGATTTGTGGGTACGGTGTACATAAAGCAATACAGTTGTTGTAAAGCATGTTGTGAAGCATGTGGGATCCACCACGATGTTAAAGTAAATGATCCAATCTTTTTGAGGAGCAATACTAATAGAGCAAATACAACAAACACAGAATTACATTCAAATTACAGCAAAGGTACAATTCCGACAAATTTCACAAATTATTACATATTGCATGTATAACAATATACAGCAAACTCACCTCAGCAACTTTTAGGAATTCTGACATGCGCTCCATCCTGATCAAAAACTTTCTGTAAATGTCCAGAGCTTCTTTGCACTGTTTCTTGTTCATGTCAAAATATTGTTCTGCAAAGATTACATGAAGCTCAGTAAACTGATAGCCTTTAGTGTTTAACAATACCGTATATTACAGAGGTAACACACATGTGTGAACACCACCCTCTTCAGGCAGGTTCCAAGAAAAATTATATTATGGAACACATGCTCATTATCATTATATTTATTAATTAGAAAAATAATCTCAAACATTGATTGTTTGTTGAAGTTGTGATAACAAATATATTAAAGTATATGGTACATATTATACTGTACGGGTTTCATATTAACATTCAAACTCACTTGTCCAAAATGTATGTTGCCTATATATTTACTATAGCTTATTTTTGTCAATCCCTGACATGCATGGATGATTGAGTATATCGCCCTCTTCAGGCAGGTTCCAAGAAACATTATATTGTGGAACATGTGCTCATTATATTTCTCTTAATTATTAATTGGAAAAATAGTCTCAAACATTGATTTAAGTGACTACAAATATAAGTATATGGTACATATTATACTGTAGAGGTTTCATATTAACATTCAAACTCACTTGTCCAAAATGTATGTTGCCTATATATTTACTATAGCTTATTTTCGTCAATCCCTGACATGCATGGATGATTGGTCAGTACAATGGATATTAGCAAAAAGACTTACCCAGGAGATTGATAATGCCATCATTGTAACAGGCAAATAGTCTAATGCTGTCTTTAAAGAGTAGAAGAAAACAACTGTTGATCACACCGTTAGTTAATTCATTTGAAGAACACTGAAACCAAACATTAGAAAATTATTAGCAAAATGAAATCATGCCACAATTCCCAACCACAGAGTATAGAGAAATTATAGAAAACAATCGCCAACCACTTTTAGCCCTCTTATGGAAAAGCACTTTTGTGATGTGTTGATAGATGAATGAAAACATCCATAATGTTTTGATTTTGTTTTGAGAGATCTGCTACATCCCAGAAGTACAATTAAACTGATTTAAGCGACTAAATACTTTTGTGCAAAAGCAATTTTTGAACCTTCTGGGAAAATTAGAATCTGCGCATTCACTCACAGTAAAATCATTTCAAATGCCATTTGATAGTTTTTTTTCAGCAACATTTTTATAATATTTCAGACACTGACAGTACCATATTTCATTATTTCAAATTTCACCTTTACAGTTACTGTAGAATACGTTATTTTCGCTTGGAATTTATTTTCGCTGAAGGGATGATTCCGTGAAAATAAAATCCAGTGAATATATTTTTTTTTCATATATTTCACATTAAACTAATCAAAAATCAGTAAAAATAAATTCCATACAAAACAATCAAAAAGCCTTTTCAGCGAAAATTAATTCCAGCGAAAATAAAGTATTCAACAGTATTTGTTTTAATTTTGATATGATGCATATCATGTTTGAATGTTTAAACGCCTCTAGACGGTACAAAAGGCATTACTGTGATCAAAAGGCAAGTGAAGTGGATGACATGAAAATGATACTTACTTCAAAATCTAATAATGCGTCCAACTGGGTTTGGATTACTGGTAATGACTTCAACAGCTGTTGTTAGAGTGGAAAAACAATCAACAATTAGTAATCTGACTACACACCTGAACTTGACAATTTACTATTCAATTAGAAATGAGACTGTTTTGAAGTAATCACTGCACTTCACATAAATCCCTGGAGGATAAACCCAACTACATACATATCCAATAACATGTGGTAGATGATACAAAACAGCATGGATATATTGCATATATGTTAACAATTAATCAGAACAATTTACTAATAATTTACAAACTGATGAAACGCATTATACAAAAGGTCCTGTAAGTTTTCGCAGAGACAAAGTTTAATCCTCATTTAATATACATTATTTATTTGTTATTTGATTCAACATGAAAATAAACTAAAGATAAATGAGGAATTCTTTGGTCTTATGAAGATTCACATTTGAGAAAAAAACTAAGAATGCCATGGTAACTCATTACACTTCGTGATGAGAATACGTCATTATAACATGCACTGGAATAGGGATCAAGTGATTATTGTTCCAGTCCAATAGGATGCAATTCTCCCTAACCTAATAGTTAATTTATACTGCTCAGGGAAGTCAGCTGAAGGGATCAGACACACAACCTTTCTAATGCAAGGCAAACACACAACCATGTCCAACACT